ACACACACACACACACACACACACACACACACACACACACACACACACACATACATCTTACCTATGTGAAGGTTTTTATTTCAATTCTTTGCAAATTGGCTCAATCAATGGAAAAAGCCTCGGCGACATTTTGGAGAGAACAACGGAGCATCAATGGGCATGTCCGGAGTGCAGAGATGTTGCTTCCTGAAACAATGAACAATGAACAAAGGGCAAATTATGTAATGATGATATCTACAAGGCGTCAAGGACAGGGATTTTTCGCTTTAGCTCACAAACACAGAAACACAAGCACACACACATAGGCACACACACACACACGCCACCCACACACACACACACACACACACACACACACACACACACACACACAGAGGCACACACGCACACACAAATACATCAATACAAACACACACACACACACACACACACACACACACACAGACAAACAAAAACAAAAGCGAAAGCAACAACGAACAAAATTGAAAAAAAGTAATTCAACAAGCAAGCAATCAAACCTTTCCAAAAATCCTTACAGCAAAACGTGATTTGCAAAAAAATATGTTAGTGAGAAACAGGCAAAACTATGATATCCTAGATTGTGTACTCCGAAGTATATCCGGTTAACTAATATAGCACACTGTTCGATTCGAAAAGAAAAATATAATATCAATAAGAAGAACCAAAACAAAACAAAACATAGCAACCAAAAGAAGAAAGAAAGAAAGCGCATGTACTCGACTATAGCGAGACTAGTGTATTGCCCCTTAACGTTTGGCGTAATGAAACAGCCCATTGTGAGCAGGATTTACCAGGATTTTTTTTTGAAACAGAAAGCGAAGAACACTGGCCTTGGCAGTGCACAGTCTAGTGGTAGATCTACAGTACAGTTCTATGGTTAGGAAGCAAAAACTATAGAGTAGGATCACGGAATAGCGCGGTCTCTGGAGTAAATTGCAAGCTATCAATTTCCAGCTTTCAACAGCCGGAGGGGCGCAATGCACGTGGACTTTGATGAAGGGAGCTCACAAAGAGCGATTGACCTAATTCCAGAGCTCGCTCTCGATGATATGGCTATAGAAGCTTCTCTCAGATATGTGGTTTACGAGGAGAGGGTCTTATAGTACGTAGATACAACAACGGTTAATGATCTCTCATGGGGGTCGGGGCTGGGGGAGGGGTGGGAGGAGAGATTGGTTGCAGGGGTGGAGGGGGTAGCAGAAAGGGATAAAGGTTGGAGTAAGGATAGTTTACGAGGCGTAGGTCCTATAGTTCGTGGATACACGACTACAGGGATTAATGATTCCTCATGGGTGGGTATGGGGAGAGGGGTAGGAGGTAGGGATGAGTTCATAGGAAGGTTGAGGTAGGGTTTAATAGTACCAAAGGAAGGGACATGGGGGTGGGGGTGGGGATGATGGGGATGAGGTACGGGGTTCGGATTAAGGTAGTTTACGAGACGTGAGTCTTATAGTACGTAAATACAAAAACTACGGTCAATGATCTCTTGTGAGAAAGGCGAAATTAAATTAGAGGGGGAGGGGGGGGTGAAGAGGTTGTTTGGTGAGGTGGTGGGGATGGAATAGGTCATGATGGAGGGTAGAGATGAGTACAAGGGTGGGGATAAGTTTGGTTTACAACACTAGGTTCTCATATACTTGAAATCAAAAGCTGCTAATGAGCACCCACGAGAGTAATAAATGAGAGATTTTGACAAATTGTTTTTGATTAAACATAATATTTTTTTTTTGGGG